CTGGTCGAAATTAGAACGCATATTTCTGGCTCGGTATTGGAAGAACTTGGCGCCAGCAAACAGAGGCCGGCACCACTTTTTGGCTTTAGCGCCTAGCGACATAGGTTGTCGTCTGGCGCTAAAGTCAAAATACTGGCACTAATCGAGCAAACAGTGCTAGAAACTGGTCAAAATTAGAACGCATATTTTTAGCTCGGTATGGGAAGAACTTGGCGCCAGCGAACAGAGGCTGTCGCCGCAATTTGGTTCTGTCACCTGGCTACAGAGTCAAATTCTCGGCGACAGACTCTGTTTTTTGATGCCAGTTCCTACATGCCTCAATGTAGACACCCATTTGTGTCTCCCCAAAACCAAATCCAGTGATGAGTATCTTTCACGTCGAATCATAATCGAATGAAGTGAAAGTGTGGAAAAGTTTAGTATTGCGGATAGTTTTAATTTCTTTTCTCTTCTCTCTGTTTTTGAAAACCTATTTTAAAAAAAATAGACAATCCAGTTTGGTTGGTCCATGATATGGGTCCAATAGTAGTGTAATTGGAAAGGGCTTGAAAAGGGCTTTCCAACAATATATTATAAGCCCAATTCCGATGAATATTGAGGAAGTTATGGCCAATTTACTGAACTGGGCCCGGTTTTAGCCTTATATGTGGCCCAATGATCTAGAGGAGGGCCTAATATAGATTTATCATTCCTAATGTAATTAGGAATGGTTTTAATCTTCTAGATTCTTCTAGAATGTTCTTTTCATTCCTAATTCAATTAGCATTGATAAATTGCCACTCTTGGAACCTCAGGAAGCTTCTTGCGAAGACATTTTACGTGTGAGGCAGCGCTTGGAGCGGTACATGCACCCCGAGTGCTCAGCTTCGCTCCAGAAGTGGAACTAACTGGAAGGTCAGTATGGGAAGCCTCTACGGCTACCTTGTAACAGGAGTGACTTTTGTTGACTTTTTAGAGTTTTAATCAGAATAAAATAATGTTTTTGAGGAAAATACAATTTTATCCTCCAGTATGGCAATTTCTATCTGATTTTAGAAAATGCGTCAATATTTTAGTCAGCGCCAAACGCCAGCATTAGCGCCTGACGCTAAGCTTGGCGCCTGGCGCTAGTGTTAGCGTCTTGCGCTAATGTTAGCGCCTGGCGCTGATGTCAGCGTCTGGCGCTAACCTCGTTTTACGCGTCAGAACTCTGTTTTTGATTTTTTATCTTTTTGGCTGATTTTCTCTATAAATAGCCTCCTAAAAACTCCATCAGTATTCACCAATTCTCACCCTCATCAAGAAATTCTTGATTACTTTCTTTCTCTCTCTCTTTTCTAAAATAGCCTTTTCTCAAAATACAAAATTCCGCATTCGCAAGACTTAGATACACCTAGCCAAGTTCAAAGTTGCCTTCGCCCTAGACGTGAAAGGTTTTAATTTCTGAGGGTTTGGTCCCAAATCTTTATTTCAATTATTTAATTTAATTGTTTGTTTTATTATTTTTCTTGAAGTTACTAACGTCTGTATTTTGTTATTAGAAAGAGGTACGAGGCATCCAAGTAAGTACTTTAATGGTTTTCATGGATGTTATTATATAGAAATCGTGCTTATGTTGTTATTATGATTCCTAGTATCATGTCTAGGGTAACTTTAATACCAAGTATGATTAAAAGTATGATGCTTCCTATGTTCTTCCTAATATTTATGATGTTAGTATCATGTTAGGGTTAAAGTTTTGATTTTTATTGCTTAGTGACATGCTAGGGTTTGTTATTAATCTTGTTAGTATCATGCCTAGGATCTTGCTATTATTATTCTTTAACATGATTATGATTATTTTTATGATTCATGATTATTATTATGATGATAGTTATGATTATTATTAATGTGCTTGATTATATTTATTGTTATTGCTTGATCACGCCTTTTATGCATTTTTAAAGGGAATTGGTACTTGTAATCACGCTTAATAAAATAATTAATAATCTTGTTTAGGGTTAATTTGATTATAATTCAAGTGATCGCTAATAATAGGCTTATTTGTGCATTAATATTCAACCAACATAAATAAACAGGTTTAGGGTTAATCCTAATGATTGCATGTTAGTCAGAAAGCGCACATGAATACGATCAGAATAGAGTAGAGGCCTATTATTAGGGCAGGTTCAATCTCTTTTAGGTTGGATTTGTACCTTCATCCCCGAACTACCAGTCATGGTTCCAGACCTATTGGAGTTAACGATCTCCTAGATCGTTAAGGGGTGTAACATTCACCTCGTGAACGGTTTATAAGTTCCTAAAACTTGTTGGCGACTCTTTTGCTCTATCTTTTTTCCCTTTGGACGCCACCGTTCTTTAGTGTATGATCATAGTGGGGTTTAAGCTAGGGGTAATTCTTGAAATATTCCCTACACTCAGCAGCTTTCTGTGCTCGATAAAATTTTCTAGTTTTGCACAACATTATTTTGATCCTAGTTGTGAAAGATATTCCTCAAATTTCCTACGTGTAAAAATCCTATGTTTTTAACTCATTACGGATGGTATTTCCAATGAGATCTTTTTTATGCATATGATAATAATGTTAATCAAAATTATGCACATGAAATACTTAGAACTTTTCGAGTCTCATCCACTCATTCTAAATAATTTCCAAAATAAATTTTAGGAATTGAAATAGAAATCCTCCCCAACGGAGTCGCCAAAAACTGTAGGGAATATTTCAAGCATTACCCCAAACTTGAACCCCACTGTGATTATATACTTAATTACGGTGGCGTCCGAATAGAAGGAAGATAGAGCAAAAGAGTCGCCAACAAGTTTTAGGAACTTGTAAACCGTTCACTGGTGAAGGTTACACCCCTTAACAATCCAAGAGATCGTCAACTCCAATATCTCTGGAACCATGAATGGTAGTTCGGGGATGAAGGTACAAATCCAACCCAAAAGAGATTGAACCTGCCCTAATAATAGGCCTATACTTTATTCTGATCGTATTCATGTGCGCTTTCTGACTAACATGCAATCAATAGGTTTACCCTAAACCTGTTTATCTATGTTATTGGTTGAATATTAACGCACAAATAGATCTATTATTGGCGATCACTTGAATTATAATCATATTAGCCCTGAACAAGATTATTAATTATCTTATTAAGCGTGATTACAAGTACAAATTCCCTTTAAATATGCATAAAAGGTGTGATCAAGCAACAACAATATACATATATATATATATATATATATATATATATATATATATATATCAAGCAACATGATCATCATAACAATTATAAAAATAAAAATGATCATAATCATAATCATATCAACACTAAATAATAATAATAGCAAGATCCTAGGCATGATACTAACAAGATTAATAACAAACCCTAGCATGTCACTAACAATAAAAAAATCAAAGCTTTAGCCCTAACATGATACTAACATGAATATTAGGAAGAGAATAAGAAGCATCGCAGGAAACACAATTGTCATATTTAATATGAGAAATTATAGTTGTTACCCTAAACATGATACTAGGAAGATCAAAACACCCTAACATGACACTGAGAATCATAACAACAACCTAGACATGATTTCTATATCATAATAGCAATAAATCAATTAAAGCACTTACTTGGATGCCTCGTACCTCTTTCTAATAACAAAATACATGCGTTAGTAACTTCAAGGAAAATAATAAAACAAAACAATTAAATTAAATAATTGAAAGAGAGATTTGGGATCAAACCCTCAGAAATTAAAACCTTTCACGTCTAGGGCGAAGGCAACTTTGAACTTGGCTAGGTGTTTTTAGATTTTGTGAATGCGAAATTTTGTATACAAAATAGTTTAGAAAAGAGAGAGAGAATTGGTGATAGAAAGAATTCCTAAGAATTGATGATTAAAAACGGAGGTTTTAGGAGGCTATTTATAGAGAAAACCAGCCGGATATGATAAAAAACTAATTAGAGTTTCGAAAAGAATAAAACACGACCGCAGCCAGGCGACAGAGCTGTCGTATGGAGCTGAAATAATTTTCCAAGCGTTTTCTTATTTTGATAAAATTTAACCGTACGAGAGGGCAAAATTGTATTTTCCTTAAAAACACTTCTTTTATACTGATTAAAACTCTTAAAAGTCAACTAAAGTCAATTTATCAATCATAATTAAATTAGGATTCAAAAGAACCTTCTAGAAGAATCTAGAAGACTATAATCAACCCTTATCGCATTAGAAATGATAAATCAATGTTAGGCCCTCCTCTAGATCATTAGGCCGCATATAAATATCAAATCGGGCCCATTTTAGTAATTTGGCCATAACTTCATCATTATTCATCGGAATTGGGCTTATAGTATATCGTTGGAAAGTTCTTTTCGAACCCAACTTAACTACACTATTATTGAACCCTTATCATGGACCAAACCAAACTGGATTGGCTGTTTTCTTAAAATAGATTTTCAAAAAACAGAGAGAAAAAAAAGAAATAAAACTGACCGCAACACTAGACTTTCCACACTTTCACTTCATCCGATTATGATTCGACGTGAAAGGTACTCATCACTGGGTTTGGTTATGGGGAGACACAAATAGGTGTCTACAATATTACAGCTAATTAATATGCCTTGCTGGCAATTCTATTATTCCTTCTCTTTGTCCTTTTGCTTTCTGTTATTTAGGTACACTTAATGTAATAAATTCCCTGCCAGCTTGCTATACTCTTGCTTAGTGCATGTATTAAGGCTGAGAGGTTGTAACGGATTAATCAAGCAATCATAAAATATCTCCTCTCTTCTTCTAATCTCTCTCTAAATTCTCTCTAATCTTCTCTGCTTTGAGTATTGTATATGAGGTGATTCAGTCATTATGGTATCAGAGCACCTCATTGCAGCGATGGAATAGGATCCGATTAATTACTGTTTTTCTTCTCCTCTCTTTAGTCTTTCTCTCTTCTGATTCTGAACTCTACTTCTTCTATTCTGTTATTCTTTAATTTTGTAATTCTTTCTTTTATCACCATGGATGGTGGAAGGATCTCTTTTCAAGATAAGCTAAATCCCCTATTTCTTCATCCTTCTGATGGTCCTACTTCAGTTCAAGTGCACAAGCTACAAGAATCTTCTGATTATAGAGCTTGGCGCAGGACAATGGAGATTAATCTTTCCTCCAAACGAAAGCTTGGATTTGTTCTTGGTACAATTGAGAAACCAACTGATGATGACATGAAAGCTGAGCTCTGGAACACCTGCCATGGTATGGTAATTGCTTGGCTTACTCATAATGTTTCTTATTCTGTTAAGAAATCCATCATGTTTATGACTTCTACTAGAGAAATCTGGTTAAATTTGAAAAAAACGATTCTCTCTAACTAATGGATCTAGGAAGTATAAACTTAACAAAGATCAATTTGAAATTAGACAGAATTCTATGCCTATTAATGAATACTATACATCATTGAGAGCTATCTGGGAAGAGTTGGATTCTATGAATATGCTGCCTACTATTTCTGACCCTTGTGCGGAAGTGCAAACTCTATTGAGTGCCTTCAATACTCAGAAGGAGGAAGCAAAACTCTTCCAATTTTTGAATGGACTGGATGAGATATACAATCCTCAGAGAAGTCAACTGCTTCTCATGATTCCCTTACCCTCAGTTGAGACTGCTGCTGCTTCTATGCAGCAAGAAGAAGCTCAAAGAGAGGTCTTGAACCTCAACAAATGTGCAAATGATCCAATGGCTATGTACAACAAACCTGTTGGAGCTGACAGATCATTTGTGTGCACAGCATGTGGCCTTAAGGGTCATAGAAGTGACAGATGCTGGACTGTCATTAGATATCCAATAAGTTGGCACTCCAAGTACAATCCCTTTTCTTCTCTTAATAGGTCTAAACCTACTAGTGGTCATTGATGGAATTCAGGTTCTAAGAATGGTGGATCAAAAATGGCAGCTGTAGCTCAGACCAGTGCAGACAATAATGGGGTGTTGTTCACACCTCAGAACAACTAGCCAAAATGATGCCTAAGCTGATGATTCAGAACAAAGATTCTGAAACTGATGAGGAGCTTGAACATTTCTCAGGAATGATTTCCTGCAATGTCAGCACAAATCTCTGTGAATGGATTTTGAATTCTGGTGCTTCAGATCATATGACCTCAACTTTGCAGAATCTGATGAGTATAAGAGAGTTGCTCATATGACCAAAATCAATCTTCCAAATTGTAAGAGAGCAGAAATCTCACACATAGGAAGTGTCACTCTCAAATCTGGACTGAAATTGGAAAATGTGATGTGTGTACCAACTTTCAAGAACAATCTTCTGTCTATACAGTAACTAGTCCAGAACAACAAATGTCAAGTGCAACTCTTCCCTAAGCACTGTATTATACTTGACAGTTAAACTCGGAAAATCAGAGGCACAAGAAGAATGATAAATGGCATGTATTATCTTGATTCACATATCTTTGATGTTCTAGAACAGGACACTATGCAAGTTAGTGCTCTCAGTTCTAGTATGTCTCTCTGGCATCATGGATTGGGACATGCCTCTATAACAAAGCTCAAGTGAATACCATGTGTAAAATCTCTCACTGCACATGATTCTAAGGTGTGTGTCACCAGTCCCGTGTCCAAAATTCACCAAGTACGCTGAGCAAATCTCATGCTGCTAAATCCTTTGAGCTTATCCATATGGACATATGGGGACCATACAAAGTCAACACTAAGGGAAAATACAGGAACTTCTTGACAATAGTGGATACACAAGAAACACTTGGGTTTATTTGTTGCAGCTTAAATATGATTCTCTGAAAACTCTTGAGACCTTCCTCAATTATGCCAAGAATCACTTTCAGAAGACAATCAAATTCATAAGGTCAGACAATGCCTTGGAATTTGATGATGGTCCTAGCAATGCTTTCTTTGCAAAATATGGCATCATTAACCAATCTTCTTATGTGAAAAGACCACAGCAAAATGCTCGAGTTGAGAGAAAGCATAGACATGTCCTTGAGATAGCTAGAGTAGTGAGGTTTCAGGCTGCATTGCCTTTGTCCTATTGGGGTGATTGTGTTCTAATTGTTGTACACATCATCAATAGACTGGTACACCAATCCTCAACAACAAAACACCATTTGAGTGTCTATTTCTCAAAGCTCCAGATTACAGTCACTTGAAAGTCTTTGGATGCAGCCTTTGCTTATAATCCAGATCATACCTTTGATAAATTTGATGCCAGAGGTGTTGCTTGCTTGTTTTTGGGATATCCAGCAACACAAAAAGGTTAAAAATTGCATAATCTGGAAACTAAACAAATCTTTGTCTCCAGAGATGTAGTGTTCCATGAACACATATTCCCATTTCACACCTCATCTCAGCATTCCTATATGCAACCCCTTCCTAAATCTGTCATCACAGACAGCTTCGATAAGCTATTTAATGACTCTGACAATTTTACACCAAACTCTTCTCCACCTCATTCCCCTGTCTCTTCTCAAACACTACACACTCTACATTCTCCAATCACTACTCCTATCTCATCCCCTCTTTCTACAAACACATCTTCCCCACCATCTATCAGAAAATCATCTAGGGAACACACTATTCCATTCTGGCATGAAGACTATAATCATGCCTCCCAAACCCACTCAGATTGCTCACTTTGCAAATACTGCTATCTTACATGAATTTCACTGTTTCTTGTCTACTCGGGTAGCTGAGAGTGATCCTGTCTTTTTCAAGGATGTTGTAAAACATAATCACTAGGTAAAAGCTATGAATATAGAGTTAGATGCCCTTGAGTTGAATGATACATGGGATATCACATTTCTACCACCAGGAAAAACTACAATTGGTTGTACAAAACTAAATACAATCCTGATGGCTTAGTTGAAAGACTAAAGTCAAGGTTAGTTATCCTTAGCTGCAAGCAACAATTTGGTTTTGACTACTCTAAACTTTTGCTCCAATTGCTAAAATGATAACTGTGAACATTGCTTGATGTAGCTGCTATTTTAAACAATGGCATGCTATACAAATGGATGTGACAAATGCTTTTCTCCATGGTGATCTCATGGAAAATGTCTACATGACTCTACCTCAGGGTTACTCAGGTATTGGTAGCAAATTCAGCAAAATAATGATTACAGGAAGCCAATCAAATTTGATTCTTCTATGGTTTGCAAGCTTAAGAAATCTGTTTATGGCTTAAAACAAGCTCCAAGACAATGGTTCCATAAGCTGTCTGATACTCTACTGCAACTGAGCTTCATTCAATCCAAGTCTGATTACAGTTTATTCATTAAAGTTACATCTACATCTATTACTGTGGTTCTGGTCTATGTTGATGACTTGCTCATTTGTGACAATAACATAGATGACATAGACAGTCTCAAATCTCTCTTATCTCAAGCTTTTCACATAAAAGATCTTCGTGAAGTAAGATACTTCCTTGGCATTGAGATTGGCTGGGTTTTTTCTCTCTTAGAATAAATACACCACAGACATTCTCAAAGAGTTTGGCATGCTTTCTACCAAATCATTGCTCCTTCCTATGGACAGTCATACTAAGCTGACTGCAAATCAGGATGACTGCAACTCAGGGTGATCCCTTACCTGATCCTTCTTCTTATCAAAGATTAGTTGGCAAACTGATTTATTTAACAATCACAAGGCCTGATATAGCTTACACAATTCAGACTCAGTTCATGCAGCAGCCTTACACTTCTCATATGCAAGCTGCAAAACGTTTGCTAAGATATTTAGCTGGCACTTTATCCTAAGGTGTCCTACTTGCTTCAACCTCTGCTATTCTTACAGCATTTTGTGACAGTGACTGGTTGGTTTCCCTATGACAAGAAAGTCCACTTCTGGCTACTGCATCTTTCTTGGTTCTTCTCCTATTTCTTGGAAAATCAAGAAACAATCTGTAACTGCTCGTTCCTCGAAGCTGAGTATAGATCCATGGCCCTTACTACATGTGAATTTTCCTGGTTGTCTAATCTTCTTTCTGACTTAGGCATTCACAACCTTCCTCCAACAGTTCTCAGTTGAGACAACCAGGATGCCTTGGCTATTGCTGCTAATCCTATCCTACATGAGTGCACCAAGCATGTGGAAGTTGATTGCCACTTTGTGCGTGACCAAGTTCACGAGGGTCTCATCAAGCCTGCAAAGGTTTCTTTTGCAGATCAGGTTGCTGACATTTTCACTAAGGTCTTGCTTGGTTCAGCTGCATTACAAGCATATGTCCAAGCTAGGAGTTCCTTCCACTCACTCACCTGCTTGAGGGGGAGTATTAAGAATATTAAAGCTAATTAAGTGCTAATTAATATGCCTTGTTGGCAATTCTGTTATTCTTTCTTTTTGTCCTTTTGCTTTCTATTATTTTGGTACACTGAATGTAATAGATTCTCCTGCCAGCTTGCTATACTCTTGCTGAGTGCATGTATTAAGGCTGAGAGGTTGTAACGGATTAATCAAGCAATCATAAAATATCTCCCCTCTTCTTCTAATCCCTCTCTAAATTCTCTCTGATATTCCTCTGCTTTGAGTATTGTATATGAGCTGATTTAGTCATCAACAACTTAATACACTCGAACAACAAATTTATACTAAAAGCTAATAACAAATTAACAAACATGTAGAAAATAAAAAAGGGGTCAAAAAGAAAGGGCGGGGAAGAAGGGGAAACTATCTATAGTAAATATTACTACGTATAATTATATGAAATCTTGTTATATTTGTTTAAGGCCAACTTTTATCAAATTTTGCGTGCTAAATTGGAGACATCCGCAAATAACACGTATTATTGAGATCATAAAAAGTCAAGACAATATTCAAGTGTAGGATGACAAAACAATTTGAGATTATGAAAAGTCAAATGGATCAATGATTAAGTGACAGGGAGTACAAAGCAGAGTAGTAATAATTTTTAGCTAGATAGCCATTTGCCATGCAATTGATCGAATTATGCTAGAGCCAACATAATCAGTCATCAAACTCTCCAGCCACTGCAAAACTAAATCATACTAGTATTACCATGAGTTAAGTAGACATTTTCCAATTCACTACCCTAATTCAGAGTAACGAACGCATATGACAATGAGCTCCATTTCTAGAAATAGGATTCTCAGAGACAATTACAGAAAATTGCAGTTTGTCGCACAAAAAGGGGAAAAAAAAGGTAAGCATGATGCTACCAAGAATAAATCACAATTCAAGATTCCATGTACTCTCTGCCATCAACTTAGGCATTTTAGATTCCTCAGCCAATTTGAGGATTGCTGAAATCTGGAAGAGAAAAAAGAACACGAGTGATGAGCAGCATATAACTACCGCTACAGTATCAGAACTGTAAATTATGAAATAGTAGCGATGATTTCTTATAGAGACACAGCAGTGGCAGCACCAACTCATGGTCTAAATCTTCACTAAAAGGCAGGCAAAAAGATAGACTGGACAAGAGTCATCAGAGGTCAAGTCCCACATCATAGACCTCAACATATCACCAACACTTTACAGTCCACAATGTTAAGAAGCCAATTTGAGTCATAGTTATCGTTCAGTGCTTCTACCTTGAAGGCCTACAAAGTAGCATTTCCTATGACAGGCTTATTTCTTTATTAGTAGTCTGTATAGAATAGATTTCTTATTCATCCAAAGAAAATGCAGTTTGCAAAAGTTCCTAACGCATCCTTATTTATCTGTTTGCAGTGTGCATTAGTGCATATAGTAGTAGAATGAAGTATAGGTTTACTGGCCATTTAGCGATTTTATAAGCAATGCTCTAAACCACATTTTTATAGTTGTTACCAAGCATAAATTATATTCCCTCTTAACTTTTGGTTGTTACACTGACTTGCACATTAGCCACACAAATCTTTGACTAGCTAATAAAAAAATGGAGGAAAGTTTACAACAAACAATTGTATATATTTTTTTCGGAAAATTTGCAAATTGCAGCCATTTAAAGTTCATATTTTGCAAATGGCAGCCATTTTATAAAAATTGCAAATTGCAGCCCAAAAGTTCGTATAAATTGTAAATTGCAGTCTGATTCAACTTTTTCATCGTTTACATGTCAAAAAAATCTTCGGTAAAAGTTTTAGGGGCTATTTTAGTCCTTAGTGATCCGAATTGAGCTCGGAATTAGCAAAAAAATAACGTAAGTGTCCCATTTTTACAGTTTTTCATTAATAGATACATTTTGGTTACGCAAAACGAGGCACTAACGTATTATTTTTTGCTAATTCCGAGCTCAATTCGGATCCTTAAAGACTAAAATGGCCCCTAAAACTTTAACCGAAGATTTTTCGACATGTAAACCGATGAAAAAATTACATCGGGCTCCATGTTACAATTTATACGAACTTTTGGGCTGCAATTTGCAATTTTTTTTTAAAATGGCTGCAATTTGCAAAATACGGACTTTAAATGCCTGCAATTTGCAAATTTTCCTATTTTTCGGACCAATCTAATAAATTTAATTGCAAATTGAGACAAAAAATAATTAAATTTTAGTTTACAAAAAACGTATACATTGAGAGTATATACTCTCAGTGAGTCTCAGTCTCAATGCAATTTACAAATCTTTTTTTGTTTTTTGTACAAAAATCTATTACTTGTAGTTGTTAATCCTTATACTTTCATTCACAATGTTTAGTATTTATATTGAGAGTATCAAACTAATCTAAGGAAATATTAATTCTACTAAAGCAAGTCGTGTTTTTTAAAACTAATATTGGGGTAACAGACAGTTGTTTTTATTTACTTATTTATTTATTTTATTTTTTTAACCTTCCACCACAAAAGGCATATTAGGGAGAAGAGGACAGAGGGTCTAAATATAAAAAAGCACACAACTTGTCAATAGATTTGAGGTTGAGGACACTAAAAATCAAACTCAATACTCATTTGAGGGTCTTTTAGTACAAAGTTGTTGGTAGTCTTTGTACTGGGTGAAAAAGAAAAGAAAAAAAAAAAACAATTCGTTTATAGATTACCTTTTATACAAAAGAGTAACAAAATGGTTTTGAACATTGGCCATTAATTTATATCTCCTCCAATTTAAGTGTTCAATATTGATTTTTACGTGTCCAGAGTAGAAATATGAAAATTTATATTTCTAATACTCTAAAAGTAGAAAATATAAAGTTAAACAATAACAATAATTATTATAAATGATAATTATCATAAAAAAAATATTATTGTGAGATAAACCCAATATTAGTTTACAAAAAACATTAAATTTACTTTTGTAGAAAAATAACAAAGTAAGACATGAGTAGTGCAAAAAACAATGTATCATACACAAATTAATTCAAAACATATAAAATTAATCTTTAATTTAATTTAATTGCCCAGATTCCAAGAATTATATAAGTCAAAGACAGCAAAAATCAAAATCTAGGTGAAGGGAGTATCAGGGCTAACAAGTAACAACTTAGCATTTAACAGTGAGCAATATGCTAATACAAAAAGAAATCAAGGGAAGTATCCTGCCTTCACAATGACAAAAGGTGGAAGCCATGGCTTGTTAGAACAGTCATAATAATATAAGCGGGGCACTCAGTGGGCAATAAGGAGAAATAAAGCCTCTTAGCTAAATAGTTGCCAACTAAGTGAACTAACTCTATCCCATTAACAAAGACACATTCCAGAAAGTGATGGTTGAGGACAATATTAAGGGAATAGGCAAGGGGAGAAGGTCTTGGCTGCACAAAGAAGACAACGAAGAAAGGAAGGAAAAGGAGCAACACCGGCGCAGGGTGGAGGGAAGGAAAGAGTCTTCCACCACCACAGTTGTCAAACAAGAATGAAAATAAAAGGTGGTGCATTGAAATGCAGCTTCATATATGCACGACAAACTCTGCCTCCCCCCCCCCCTCCTTCCCGGCGCAAGGTGGAGAGAAGGAAAGAGTCTTCCACCACCACAGTTGTCAAACAAGAATGAAAATAAAAGGCGGTGCATTGAAATGCAGCTTCATATATGCACGACAAACTCTGCCCCCCCCCTTCCCGGCGCAGGGTGGAGGGAAGGAAAGAGTCTTCCACCACCACAGTTGTCAAACAAGAATGAAAATAAAAGGCGGTGCATTGAAATGCAGCTTCATATATGCACGACAAGCTCTGCCCCCCCTCCCCCCTTTTCCCCTCTCCTCAAAGTGTAAAAGAAAAAAAACAAAAATTCATTATTGAACATTTTATAGAGTTAAGGTAACAATTAGAGACTAAACTTTGTTATTTTTTCACCTTTTGGGATTTGAAGTTTTTTATTTCACCTTTGAGACCTGTGGTTAATTATAAAGCAATTTAACCTGTTTTGGGTGTTTTTGTCCCTCAGGAGAGTTACAACTCAGAGACTGCTTGCGCGCGGCCTGTACCTGCAAAACAACGGAGACTCCGGGTGGTTGGAGCTCCACCTCCAACGATCAAGTTAAGACTTGAAGATAAACGGGAGAAAGTACGGAAAAAGAGGTGAGATTTGCTCGGATTCAAAGATAAGGTGATTCTATGATGTAAGAGAATGTAGGGTATCCTGTAATAATTGTAGATGTCCTAAAAATGGGGGAAATCTCCCTGTTTATAAGTTCAATGGGAAATGTGCCCCTGATTAGGTAATTCTGACCTAATCATTCTGGGCTGCACCGCATTACAGCTTTCTCGGGTTTTGGGCCATTGAAGGCTGCCTTTTTCTCCCTAGGAGAGACACGTGTCAGGCGGAGATTGGCCCAATTCGGACCAACCAGGATATGACACGTGTAAGGGTCTAGTTGGGCCACGTGACATGGGTAAAATTACCCAAAAAATTTGCCCCTCACAGATATGACGTGGCTCGCCACGTGGCATCTATGACACATGTCACTTTTCCACATGTGGCGAATAAAAAAGGGTTTTTTTTTTACTGTGAAAATTAACTTTTCACATTCCGGGGAGATTACGAAATTGCCCTCAAATTTACCCCTCTATAAATACTAACATTACCCCCCTAGTTTTGGACGTTTCCAAAACATTCTAGAGAGATAAAGTTAAAGAGTATATCGGGAGAATCC